TATCCTGATTGGCTTGCCCCTAAATGTAATCTGCTTCCTTTCTCTTGTAGCTTTTAAAATTCTCTCCTTATTCTGTATGTTGGGCATCTTCATTATAATGTGTCTAGGTGTGGATCTCTTATGATTTTGCACATTCGGCGTCCTGTAGGCTTCTAGGATTTGGGATTCTGTCTCATTCTTCAAGTCTGGGAAGTTTTCTTGTATTATTTCATTAAATAGACTGCTCATTCCTTTGGTTTGGAGCTCTGTACCTTCCTGTATCCCAATGACTCTTAAGTTTGGTCTCTTAATGTTATCCCATATTTCTTGGATGTTCTGCTCATGGTTTCTTAACAGTCTTGCTGAGCTGTCTATGTTCTTTTCCAGTTGAAATACTTTGTCTTCATTGTCTGATGTTCTATCTTCTAAGTGTTCTACTCTGTTGGTAGTATTCTCCATTGAGTTTTTAAGTTGGTTTATTGCTTCCTGCATTTCTAGGATTTCTGATTGCTTGTTTTTTATAACCTCTATCTCCCTGTATAGTTGATCCTTTGCTTCCTGGATTTGTTTGCGTAATTCGTTGTCGAAGTGATCTTTCATTGTCTGATTTTGCTGTTTAATGTCTTCCTTGATACTCCAGATCATCTGAAGCATGTATATCCTGAATTCTTTATCTGACATTCCATCTGCTGCAGCTGTTACCTCTTCTAAAGTTGCGTTGACCTGCATTGCTTGTGGTCCTTTCTTTCCTTGTCTTTTCATACTGCTTGCGTATCTTTCCTGCAGGTGCGGGCGGCGGCTCTGCTCTCTCCTTATTCCAATTGGGGTGTCGTGGCTACCACGCCGGCAGGTCACTGGGCCTGTTCTGGGAGCTGGTGGCGGCTCTGTTCTGCCCCTACTCCAATTGGGGTGACGTGTCTGTCGTACCAGCAGGCCACTGGGCCTGTCCTGCTGGTCGGTCGCAGATCTGCCCACCTTTCGGGCACGAGTGGAGGCTCTGCTTTGCCCCTACTCCAATTGGGGTGTCGTGACTACCCCGCCTGCAGGATGCTGGGTCTGTTCCTGGCAAGGGAGGCGACTCTGCTCTGTCACTACTCCAATTAGGGTGGTATTTGTACCCCGCCGGCAGGCTCCTGGGCCTGATCCGCAGGTCTGTTGTAGGTCTGCCTACCTTGAAGGCGCGGGCGGCGGATCTGCCCTGCCCCTCCTACCACGCCTGCGGACCCCTGGGCCTGATCTGCAGGTTGATCACTGGTCTGCTCACCCTGCGGGCACGGGTGGCGGTTCCGCTCCACCCCCACTCCAATTGGGGTCACGTGACCACCACACCGGCAGGGCCTGATCCGGGCGTGGGATAAGGATCTGCTCTGCCCCTACTCGAGTTGGGGTGACGTGTGTACCACACTGGCAGGCCACTGGGCCTGACCCGCCAGGCTGTCACAGGTCTGTTTACCTTGCAAGCGCGAAGGGCGGCTCTGCCCTGCCCCTCCTACCACGCCCATGTACTACTGGGTCGTGGGTCTGCCCACCTGGCGGGTTTGGGTGGCAGCTCCGCTCCGCCCCCTCTCCAATTGGGGTCACGCGGTCACCACGCTGGCGAGCCGCTGGGCCTGCTCCGGGGGCTGGCGGCGGCCCGGCTCCTTCCCTCTGGCTCGAGGACAAATTGAGGAGACTCGGGTGACTGAGCCTCACCCCCCTTACCAGGAGACCAACTGCTTATGTCACCGCTGGTATTGATGAAGATCTCTCCTCCACCGCTTTCTGCTGACATCAGATCTCTGCCATGTTGGTATCCTATGCGAATGGCAGCATTTCGTTCCCCTTGCCAGGCAACCCAAGCAATGGGTGAGTCCTGACCTGCCCTCAGCAGGACCCGGACCGAGACACAGTTTCCGCGGGCTCCCAGCCCCGGTCCAGGGAAGTTCCGGGAGCCGGAACTCGGCCGCTCCGTGCTCGGTGTAAGCTCCTATAAGTGTAGGCTCCAAGAAGCAGCCCCCGCGGGCTCAGTTCCGGGAGCCGGAATTCGGCCGCTTAGTGCTTGGTGTATGCTCTGATAGTAGCAGGGTCCAAGAAGCAGCCTCCGCGGGCTCCGCAGCCCTGAGCCAGGGCGGTTCCGGGACGGTTCCGGGAGCCGGAACTCGGCCGCTCTGTGCTCGGTGTAAGCTCCTATAAGTGTAAGCTCCAAGAAGCAGTCCCCGCGGGCTCAGTTCCGGGAGCCGGAACTCGGCCTCTTGGTGTTTCGTGTTTGCTCTGATATTAGCAGGGTCCAAGAAGCAGCCTCCGCAGGCTCCGCAGCCCGGAGCCAGGGCGGTTCCGGGACGGTTCCGGGAGCCGGGACTCAGCCGCCCCGCGCTCCGTGTTCACTCCGATAAGATCAGATTTTAAGAAGCCCCCAGGCGCTGAACCCTAGCAATCTGTCTGCAAGCCGCAGGCGAATTGCAGCCTGAAATTATCTGTTCTATGGCTGAATGAGCTGCGGTCAGTCAAAAACAGGTGTGGTGACGTCAGTTTACCAACATGGTGGCTGCTGGCCTCCTCTGTGGTCTGACCGGTGTGGAGAACCGAGATGGACCGCTTCCTTCCCCGTCTCGAACCCAGAATTCAGCCCTGAGTGCGGTGCTTGCGCGTCTGGCAGAAACTGCAGCGCTGTATCCCTGCGTCTCTATCCCAGCGCGCGCTGCAGACTCTAGCCGCGGGGCGATTTGCTGAATAAGCAGTTTTACCCTCCGTGCGACAAACCTCTCGCGTTTGAGTCCCCGTAGCCGATCCTCATGCGATGGAAATCCTTCCTCCAGGTTCCGGCGCACCCCACTATTGCTGGAAATTCCCAACAAGATATCCTTCAGCCGTCCTGACTTGTCACACTCCCACACAGTGAAGCAGCACACGGGGGTAATGCACTCCCCTCGCCGCCATCTTCCCTCCCATCTGCAAGTTGTTTATCTTGATAGCATCACAACATTTGAAAATTTCCTATTGTATCCTTGAGGATAAGCATAATAGTAACATTGTAGTATAGAGTTAGCCTGGCTAAACAACAGGAATATTAAACCATATGCTGCGGAAATAGAATCTGAAACAAAATCTACTCCCTACAAAAGAGGAAAAACTACTCCACAAGGTAGAAGAGAAAGAAAACAGTTTTATTATTGAATAAACAAACATTGAACCAGAATGTTACCTACATCCCAGGAAGTCTACTAAGAGATTACAGGGATGGAAAGAAATCTCACTGTTTAATATAGACAAGCAAGTAGAGCCCCGTGCATGCATGTCCTAAAGGTAAATAGTAAGCAGGCTTCAGGAAAGGGACTTGAGGGCACCATTTGACACACATAGTTCATCCTGGGCTCACCTGTGTTAGCTGAATGGCTTTGCCCACAGGGAATCCAAACATCTCAGTCTTCCTGAAGGAGTGGTCGCCATTCGGGGGCAGAGCCAGTGGAATCCAGCCCCCCTCCTTCCCTCCCACAGAGACTGGGATGATTCCATTTCACAGGGATGGCTCCCAAGTCCTGGAGGAAGATTCTTCTCCATTACAAAGTTCATGAGAACCTCCCTTGGATTTTAAAAAGATTTACATGCATTTCAAAGAGTTGAAGAGACCAAAACAGATTTGAGTTTTCTAAAATTAAGGCTACAGGAAAGGAAAGAGTGGAGAACAGCAGAGGGACAGGGGTCAGCTGCCAGAGCCCCTCTGGAAGGTTCTTTAGACTGCAGCAGTGTTTCCCAAAGCCAGTTCTGTGGTCACTGCTGTGGAATGTTCTGGAGTGCTTCCTGAAAAACAGATTCCCAGGCCTCGTCTCCAAGTCTGCAGATGAGAGTGATGTACGCGGCTCCACATGATCATCAGCACTTTGCACTGAGGCTTGACCTGAGTGGGAGACCTGTCGAGTCTATTCCAGTGCACTTTTATTTCTAGTGTTTTAATGTGCAATTATCTGAATGTGCCTTGGCAAAAATCAGGAATTAGAAATTAGACAAATATATAAAAAGAGAAAAGGAAGTAGACGCAACCCGACCTGTGCTTGGTCCACCAAGGAGAATACCTCTTGTGGGAACTCTCACCTTTGGCTCAAAACCTCCCTCAGTCCTGATCAGGATTATTTGCCCTTGGGAATCTGGCTTCCTGTTAAAATAACTTAACAGTAAACTCAGAAAATTGACAAAGAAAGAAATCCCCTGTTTAGTAAGGTAAAGAAATATGTTATCCAGTATGAAATTACTTCATATTGCTCCTATAAGCAAGGTATATGTATCATGTGTGTATATATGTTATATATATATATATATATATATATATATAAGTTTATATATAAAAATATATTATAAGTAACATAGATGCATAATGGATGTGTTCTTACAGTAATGTAATGAAAGTGTTGCTTTAAGAAGGGTCATTGGTATCAAGAAACAATGAAAATATGACTTCTCAGTTGGGTTTGGGTCCTTGAGGCCCTCCCTTGTGGGTCTGGAAGTTGCTAGGAGGACTCACAGGACTCAGCACTGCTGGATTTCAGCAAAAGGATCCAAAGTCAGTGAAGGAGAAAGATGCACAGGGCCAAATGGGAAGGATTGACTGATACCCCAGAAGAAAAGCACGTGCTTAGCATACACCAGGCTGACGTGGAGACAGTCTAAGCACAATGAGCTCCATCAGTCCAGCAGTGGTAGAAAGGCACAGTGAAGCCGTGTTCCGACGTGCCAGCCAAGGACTGGCTCTTCTGGGGACCGTACTCTGGGGCCGCTATAGGAAGTCTTCTACGGGTGCTGACTCACTAATGAAGTGGGCAAGACATGCCCAGTTCTTGGCATTCTGACTTATGGTGCATTTGAATAATGTGTGTTTACAAGCAACGAGGCGAGTATGCAGAAAGCGTGAGACTAAGACGTACTTGGGCAAGAGGGTGAGACATCTCATATAATAGACTCAGTCATGAAATTTTTCTCAATAAATACACAAAACCAAAGATGTTTACCCTGCTTTTGTCCTCATGCTGACTTGAGCACCCTCGCCATAGGCCAGTCACCATGGAGCACCCATCTCATGGTACAGCGTGGTGACACGGATGGAGCCAAGATCACTAATGCAGTCCTGCTGCCTTGTGGAGGTACAGCGTGGGCCCTTCTAGACTGTGTGCTTCTCGGCTGGCAGAGTTCCAAAGTGCTTGAGCTGGTCGGCAAACTGTTTTACAGCAAGAGAGGCAAACTGTTAACAGAAATCGCACTTTAGGTTAGAAACCTGCTTCCTTTGGGTTGTTCAGTGATTATCGGGTAATTATTCAGAGTCTCTGTTTCTTATGTTCCCCAGTTAAAATCTGACAACATTTTTCTTTTGGGAAAGAATACTTGTTATTTACTCAGAAGAAAGATTGGAGGTTGATGTCATGGTTTCTGAAAATCATTTATTCCCTACAACCTTCTTGCTATAAAACAGGCTAAAGTTTCTGCAATACAAAGAGCATAAAACTGATTTACACAAAGACAAGTGACCTTTGAAAACTCGGGCTATCGCCAGGCCCATATTCATCTGATGCGTATTTCATTTTTGATGCAACGAACTTTGGGCTTTCGTTATGTCCAGTCTAAGATTGTTTTATGTTCGTTGATGGACACTACCTCTGTCCTTCCCCAAGACCTGACTCTTACTGCAGGAACAAGCATCCTCCATTGCATGACTAGCTCAACACAAAACAAACGAAATTATTTATTTAACTCTAATTGGGAATGCGTGCATATAAAATGTAAGTGTGTGTGTAATGTACACTATTAGTAGTTTATGTTATGTGCTGTTTAAAATACTTAAAGGATGTCTGTGTGTTTTAGTTCAGTCCCCTAGTGACCCTTGGGTTTTATTTCATCGTCATCTCACGACGGCAAAGATAAAGAGACTGAATGTCCTTCCATGAGATCTTCCAAGGAAAGAATTAGAATACAGGACAAGGCCCCACGGCTTCCCTCCTCCGTGTCTGTGTTTCCAGCCAACCGAAGTCTAACGGAGATGAAGTTTGGGCATTTTCCTGCATCATCCAGAGAGTTAGACTGGGAATGACCTTCTCCTGCACACTCTGTCAGCTCACACCTCTCCACCCTGCGCCCGCACCACTGGGTGCATTCCATCTGGACAGAGAATGAGAGCTAACATTTCTTTCTCTTCTCAATGAGGCAAGAAAAGAGTAGTTGTAACCGATATTTTCCAGGACTTATCAGGGCTGGTTAGAGGCTTGGAATGCATGAGTTCTTCTGGCTTGTTTTCTGGTCCAGTTATTTAGGGTATTAGTTACTCGGTGTCTTCACGCCCTAACCCACCCCTCTCCAATAAAGGAGGAACCCCAGGCATTAGGGCTGCTCTGCCCGCCTGGCTCTGCCGGAAGGGCCCGGCAGCATTTCTGTCATGAACCATTTCTAAGGTTTATGACTAAGCCATAAATACTTGTCACCAGCAGAAACTTAGCCTGGAGGGTCACAGGCCTGGAGTAAATTACTCATTTATAAATTTCACTGACTTGCTTTAAATTGTTTTAACTGTATTTATCTTTTGTTATGGGAGGAGAAATAATGGCTTTATGGTTCAAGACATTTTTGTCCCCTTATGAATCAACGAGCATTGGCATGTAAGCAAAAATTCAGCAAAAATGTGGCCACTGAAACAGACAACGATTCTCCATTCTTCAGAGAAGGGCTTCAACCAAAGCTCTATTAACAGAACTTGGGGGAGAAAGTGAACGCTCTGAGCTGTTAACTCCCCAAAGCATCCCTTCCCATTTGCTTTTTCTTCTTCCACATGAGGACCAGCAAGCTGCATGGTCACCGGAGTCTGACCATTCATGCTACATCTGGCCAGACAGAGCAGGCAGGGGTGGGAAATGGCTCTGCCTCGGATGGTCCATGTTCCCGCTCTGAGGGGCTGAATCTGCACCTCTCCTCCATGCTTTTGCATTTATTTCTTAAGGGTAAATACTAGTTCCATGCCACTTTTTAAGTCACATAGGACTTTTCAAAATAATATAAATTCCATTTTCTATCGGTATTACCAGTTCATACGCCTTGAAATAGCATCCATGTAAATACTGAATGAATAAATGATCTGACTCCAGTGGTCACACATTGCTAGAAACAGTTAAAAATAGGAAACATTTCAAATTGAAACATTTGAAATTTGGATTTATAACTGACCAGTTGTGATACAAATGGTCACATTTTCAAGTGGATTCTACTTCTGAATTCATATAACTTAAAGCTTAATTAAAAATGTTGTCTGCATTCTTAAGCATTCTGTCTACTTCTAAGGAGTTCTACATCCTGCTCTATTAAAAACAGTCACTAAAATTTGGTAAAATGTTCTGTTTTATGCATGCAGACCTTTAAAATTTTGTCCTGATTTTTCCTAGTTAAAAAAGCAAGATACCTTTTAGAAAAATTTGGAAATACCAAAAAGCCTAAAGAAAACAATTGCTTTAAAGTTTTTAAAAATTGTCAAAGATTAAATATAATAAAGGTGTATAATATAATGGTTCGATACATGTCAATATTGTGTAATGATTACCATAATTAGCATGTCCCTTACCACCCATGCTGCACACTGGGTCCCCTCAACTTGCTCATCTTACCACTGAACGTCTGTACCCTCTAACATTTCCACCATCTCTGCACCCTCAGCTCCTGGAAACCACTGTTTTCCTATTATTGTTTTGACAATTCTAGATGACACTACAGGTGAGATCATGTGGCGTTTGTCTTTCTATGTCTGGCTTATGTCACTTAGCGTAATGTCCTCTAGGTCCATATATGTTGTCACAAGTCTCAGGATTTCATTGTCAAAAAAAACCCAAATAATCCAAATGAAAAAAAAATGGGCACTAGACTTGAAAAAAAAGAAGACATAACACTGGCAATTAGGTACCTGAAAAAATGGTCAACATCACTACTCATCAGGGAAAAGCAAATCAAAGCCACAGTGAGATAGATACCACCTCAACCTGTTAGGAGAGCTGCGATCAACAAGACAAGAGATCATCAAGGTTGGTGAAAATGTGGAAGGAAAGGAAGCCATCTACCTTGTTGGGAATTTAAAGTGCAATACCATTGTGGAACATGGTGTGGAGGGGCTTCAATAAAAATAGAACTACTGTACCACGAGAGCAATCTCTCTGTTGGGTGAACCACAAAGGAACACCGTCAGTGTCTTGAAGAGACATCTGCACCCCATGTTCATGCAGCATAATTCATGATGGTCAGCAAGTGGGTACAGCCTCTGTGCCCATCCACAGACAAGTGGATTAAGAACACGTGGTTTATAGACACAACTGAATAATATTCAGCTTATAAAAGAAGGAAATTTTGCAGCAACACTGATTAACCTGGAGGATATATGCCAAGTGAAGTGAGCCAGGCACAGAGAGAAAAATACTGCATGGTTGATCTTTTTTTCCATATAGAATCTAGGATAAACAAATTTAAAGCATAAAAAAGTTTATCATTTGTCATTGTAGTAAAGCTCCTAGAAGACTGAGGGGGTCTAGACAGTGAGTTCTTGTCATGGAAAAACCTTTAGGGACAGTGGCGTAGGAGGGAAGAGGAGTCTGAGGACAGGATGGCGAGAGTTGGTGGAGAAGCATGATTTTCCACTTGTGCTGGGTCCAGACCCCTGCAGTCACCGTCACAAGTCTTCCACTTTCGGTCTCAGACGGAGGGAAGCTGTACTGTGCTATAGCCCACGCCCTTCCTGTGTGGCAAGATGGGCAAATCTGCTGTCCCAAAGAAAGACACAGTGAAGAGAACAGGTCAGGTACACATCAGTCCCATTCCCACCAGCCATGGGGACTGATGGGCTTCTCCTCAGGGGAGGTGCCCCACAGGTGTTCTGTGGGTGGCGATGGGTGGGGTGTGCTGGGCCAGGAGGACCGGGCAGAAGGCTGAAATGGTATCTGACCCGTGTGGGCTCACGCTCCAGAGGTGACTGTAGGATTAGTTCTGCATTCTTTGGAACGTCAGCTCATTAGAGTCCTACCACAGCTCCGTGGTGTCATCAGAACCGAGTCATCGCCACCACTGGAATAAAGAGAGAGGCCCACGCAGGGAAGGTAAAGGACGCCTCTGCTGGAGGCCCTCAGCTTCACCGTGACAGGCCCAGGACGAGGCTCCAGACTCCTGCGCCACTTCGGTCCATTTCTGGGAAACTCTGAGTTGGAGTAACATGCTTTTCCTGACTTTTATCATCAACTCAAATGTGGTTGAAAATATCTTTAAACGAAATTCTTCGGGTTAACATTAAAGTTACATACTGTTGTGTGTTCAGCGTAATGAACACGTCAAACATAAAAACTGGCCTCCCTTAGTAGGCTATTTCAGTGGCTATTTTCTTCTACAAAAGATTTTGTGCATGGGATTAGGAGCTTTTTGGAGTGTGTGTTCTACAGATTCTATTTCTTATGTTGTCGAATCCAGCTTAATCAAGGAACAAATACAAACCTGTGAGGGGTCAGAAATATTAAGGAGCCTCTAAAAGAAAATTGGGTTTTTTCCCTCAGTCCACCCTATTTTTACTGTCTTCTTTGTTCCTAATATTCCATCCTGATTGATACGCCCTTTCTTCATTTTCCAACCTTCCTTTTGTGGCATTAGTTGGATCCCTAATTTCTACTGTAATTTTGTTTTTTCTCCTAGGTAAAGCTGATAGCCAGTATCTCCTCTTTGTGGCTGGAGGGGTAGTTCTGTTGTTTGTTGTGGCAATCGTCATCATCATCGTCATTTCTTGTAACAGGTGAGTAGAACGAGTACCCCAATCTGGTCTGCCCTGAGTCACTGCGATGTTACAGGTTCTCTATTAATAACCCAACAATTTGTCAAGCTGTCTCAGCATCCACAGGTATTTCTTTGAATACGGCTCTTACTCAAGGGGGGAGGCGTTAATATCAGAAGCCAAAGCCAGAGAGAGTCCTTCCCTGAGGGATGGGCGGAGCCGGCAGCCTGCCTGCCTGTTCCCCATCTCTCGCCCCCTCCTCCAAGAAAATAGCTGCCAGTGAAGGCGTGTGTGTGTGTGTGTGTGTGTGTGTGTGTGTGTTTGTGTTTGTAAGTAAGAGAGGATAATGCCTTAACTTAAGCATTCATCAGGTATCTATTGTGCAAAGTGGTGAAGGAGATGTAGGCAAGCTCCCATTCTAATAAGCTAACAGTAAACTTAAACTGGTGGCATACTTTCTGAACAGTGGTCTAGATGCTACTGTTAAGAATTACTGAGGAAGAAGACTGGGAGGCTCACCCCAGAGACAGTGGGCAGTCATCCGTAATCAGCAGCAGCTTCCTGCTACTCATGGTGTGGCGCAGGGGATTTTCTTAGCGGGCCCTTTCTTCTCCAGACTCTCCGTGTCTGCCGACCCATTTGCCTAGCACTGGTTGGTCCTTTTAGAATCACACTGGGTTGGAATTATTCCTTATACTGTGGGCCAAGGACAGTGGTTGGATTGTGTGTTCTACAGATTCTACAGGCGTCTGTGGGGATAGGCTTGTTAAGGGAGAAAGGGACCATGCTTCGCACGTCTCTCTTATAGGTCTGTGATGGCACAGATGTGCTTGTTGGCTGTGCACATTGCCACATCTGCTCCACTCCCACATAATGTGCAGCTCCTTAACAGGATTGCCAGGAGGTTTCTGCATCTCCTCTGCATGTCCTTGACCTTTGCCTCTTCTGCCACGCCCCTGCCCTCTCCAGCCTGCCCTCCTGTTCTCAGACCATCCTCTCTCTAAACCATTGGAATTTCCTAGTTCCTCTTTTGTCCTCCTCCTGATTAACACTGTGTTACCCTCCCACTGCAACCAGAGTAGTCTTAACCTCATCAGCCCTGTCACTGAAGGTGCTCTGCTCTCTGACTGCAACTTAATTTTTGTCCATAGTTTCTACTTTATTTACTTTCTCTAAAATTCACAAATTTTTATTAAAACTATGACATTTATTCTTTGAGCACACCCACTGTCTTTCATTTGCTATGCTCCCCAAATACAGTTTCCCTGTATTTGCCCTTAATCTTGTGCATTATAACAGGCAAGACACCAGTCCCCTCTGTGAGGGCTGTCTTGAATCTCTGTCCCTGGGATAGACATGAAGTCACCATCCAGAATCATCTTGCACTCCTATCTGCTACTCCTCACATCCTGCTTTGTATTTTAATTGTATTCAGGCTTGTCTTCCCTACTGTGGTATTCCTAATGGCAGGACTGTGTTTTATTTATGTTTTAGTGTTTGATAGCATTCAGCAGCTAATCTTCCCAAGCAGTGGAGGGTCAGTGATCATCTGCCTAATTAAAGGGGAACAGGGCCAGTCCTTTCACCTTTCTCTGCATCGTGGCTGCCCTGAGTCTTTCCCTGACCAGAAATTAGCAAATGGAGGCAGGGGCCCCGGGGTTAGTGTCCTAGAGGGTTTCTCTACTGCCTCACGTTGGCTGATGAAAATGCAGACGGGGCAGAGGGAGTCTTGGGGAATAGGCAGCGTGACTGAGAGAACGCGGGGTGGACAGACCTCTGCAGGGTCACAGATGTTGGACAGGACAGGCTTTGCTTCATGAAAACACTTTGCTTTCACATGAGTAGTTAAACTGAACTGTGGAGTATACTGTCCCTCTTGGGTCAAGGCGATGGGAAGATTAGTGGACGCGAGTGTCTAATCAAGGGTGAACTCCACAAAGGAAAGGGCACGGTTCTTCCTGCCTTGTCTGGTCTCCCTTTGTGGCTGTTACTTGGTTGGAAATGTTTTGGAAAATGACCCAAGGGTTTCACCAATGACCCCTGAACCCTGTCTGACCAACCATTTGAGATAATCCCTCAGCCTCAGATGTGCAAGTCTGACTTCAGAGGGGATGCCCAGTCACCTGCTCCAGGGGCACTGGAAACGGCTCCTCTATCCTGGGTTGGTAGGGGTCAGAACAGCAACAGTAAGAATGGAGCATGCTGGGGGTGCACAGTGCGGGTGAGCACCAGGAGAGTCGGCTTGTGTTCTGGGCACGGACACCTGTGTCCTGGGAAGAGCTTGAATCCTTAGGGAAACGTCAGACACTTGTCTGCAGATTGCTGTCAGTGCTCATGCTTATGATGAAGGTGGCATCTGGTTTTCCTGGCACCTTCCTGGTTTCAGCACTTCATCCCAAGGAGATGCCTTAGTCCCCGGCAAATGGGAACAGCTGGTCAACTTAGATCAAATGGTGATGTTCACTACCTTTGTTTTACAGACAGAGGACTGGTCTTTTGAGATGCAAAACACTCAGCCACTAGATAGCAGAGCACAAGTTACACAGAGTCTGATTCCAAGCCCAACCTTCTCTTTCATTCCTCATGTTGCATGCTCCAGGCTTATTTCAACACACAGACACAGCGATCCGTCCGGGAAAGTTAGCTGTATGTTATGGGATAGACTTGTGCACCCTGGTTTAATTAAAGATCAAAGGTCATAGACCTGTGCCTTGGCTTCCTCATCTGTAAACAAAAGGTGATAATAGTAGCCTTATGATAGATTCCTTTGAGGAATAAATTATGTAATTTATACAAAACACTTAGAAATGAATTTTGCATGTAGTAAATTTACACAGAGAATAAGTGAATTAAAGAATAATCAACATAAATAAGGATAATAATAAGTAAATTAATGCCTATAGAATAAGATGAAGACTGTTAACATAGTAGAATTTCCAAATTACTAGAAGAGATCATTAGAATCAATATCCACTACTGAATAACCTTTCCTTGAAGAGTGACTATCATGTTTTCTAGATTTTTAATAAGGAATTGAGATCTCATCTTACAAAACACAGAACAAAACAAACCTCTATATTTTTGCATGGAATCCACCTCTTCTGTTGTTCAACAGGAATCTTCGCTTTAGGGAGATGGAAGAGAGGTTGACTTTCCCCAGAATAATTGTCTTCACACTTGGATATGTTATTTCTCCTTTGTTCGACTACAGTAGCCTCTTCTTTCCTTCTCTTGTGTTTGCTCTTTTAAGATTTCTCCAGAAGTTAGGTTTCATAAGCGTCATTGGAACTGTGGAGAGTTTGTGGAGTACTGTGGTTGCAGATGGTTGCCGGCCACATCAAAGTGACTCTGAGAGAAGGGAAGCCTCAGAGTTGGGTGGGAGGGCTGAGGGCTGATGCTACCTGTAACCAGCCACGTGACTCTGGGCAAGTCTCCCTTCCTCTCTGCACCTCAGTTTCCTAGCCTGTTAAGTTTAGAATTTTGATGAGATCTGAAGAAAATCATCCATACAGGTTATATAGAATAACACCTGGACGATTTTATAACACTGAGCTCTGTTAGTGCAGTCACCTAAGAAGTTTCACTGTTGGCTTTCAAACATGTTTTAATCATGAAAATCTCTAAGTCCAAGATTCCATGGAGAAGGCTGGAAGCCCTTCTAACATGGGTTCTCAAGGAGAGTAATTACCATGGACACTGCTGGACAGCTACGGAGCTGTGTGCACCCTCCCGGGAGTGTGGGAGAGGTGTGCAAAGTGAGTGTCAGTCACTAGAATGCTGGACAAATATGTGTGGAGCACCTGTGGCTGGTCACGAGCACATATTCAGTAGGGGACATGGGCTGGGAACACGCCGAGGGGTACCATGCTGGACTGCAGCGTCTTGACGTTTCCTGTTGACTGTGTGTTTTAGAAGGAGGAGGAGACAGAAGTCCACCCCATTTAAAGAGTCCTGGGATACAAAGAGTAAGGTGAGTTCACCTGGAATTGTCATTTTCCCCCTTTCGTGCTTTACAAATATCTTGTAAAGTCTGTCTATTTTGCAGTTATGGATCTTATTTTTTGTTTTATTTTTAATAAACTGGCAATGCAGTTGATAATTCAAATATTGATAATTCAAGTACCAGCTTATTTGAGGAAGCAGTTACTCTCTGTACTACTCTATTAATACCTTTTGACACCAAGTTTTTTTTAATATCAATATGAATAAAGGAGCAATTACACTGACACAGTAAGAATCAATCCTGTGCATTACCGAAATCTGCACTAGTTTTCTAGGACTACTATTACAAAGTACACAAACTGGATAGTTTGAAACAGCACACACTTATTCCCTCATGACTCTGGAGGGTTGAAGTCCAGAAAGAGGTGTGAGAAGACTGGTTCCTTCCTGGGGTGAGATGGTTCCAAGCTTTTCTCCCAGCACCTCCTGGTGGTTGCCTGCAATCACTGGCTGTCCATGGCTTGTATACACATCCAATTCTGCCTGTCTTCACCTGGGGTCTCCCCTGTGTGTGTCTGTGTCTCTCCTCCTATCAAGAAACCAGTCATCTTGGAGTAAGGGGCAGCCTCCTACCCCAGTGCATCCTGATGTTCACGTCACTAATTTTATCTGCCAGTATCTTATTTCCAAAGAAGGCCACCTAACGATGTTTGGAGAAGGATGTGAGTTTTAGGGGGACCCTATTCAAACCAGTAAAGAGCATAACATTATTTTGATGTCATAAAGATATTGTGATGATTAAATTAATCTGACCTACATTCAAGGCTCAGAAGCAAAGCGTGCATATAAAAGGACATAATATATGATATTTGTTACTATTATTACCTTTAATTAATTATGAATTAATGAATGCTCAAATTACATTATAAACCTAAAGAACTTTCTTGTGGGTTTCAGGAGTCTGATGAACTATTAAAATTTCCATCTCGCTCTACTTTGCTACTGCGCATATTGTTTGGTTGAAGTAATAGAAACTTTGGAGTTTGTAGATAACAGTGATGCTTAATTTCATGTTCATTGCCTCCAGCGTATGTCACATATTGCTCTCTTGTGCACATATTATTCTGTTTATTAAAATTCGCAATCCAATGCTTGCGTTAGGATTTCACACACAGCATTGGGGAGGTTATTCATGGGTGGAATCAGTGCCCTTGTAAGAAGAGAGGCCAGAGCTTCCTTCCTCCTCTCTGCTTTCTGCACAAAAAGTCTGGACACAAGGAGAAGATGGCCACCAGATCAAGTAGGCAGCCCTCGCCACACATTTGGTCTTGGATTTCATAGCTCCAGAACTGCAAGAAATAAATGCTTGTTGTTTAAGACACTTAGTCTGTGCTGTTCTATTATAGCTTGCCTGAGTTGACAAAGGCAAACATTTTCTCAAGTGCTATCCAAAATCACATTGATTTCTTTTTGCTTTAATTATTTGCCCTTGAATTCAACACGGCTAAAAAGTCAAATACTTAAGCACCCAATACAGGTGCTTCAGACTTCTTAATAATCTGTCAACTTAAAATTTTCTGTTATTAAGCAGTTACTCTTTGCAAGTCAGATGTGTTTTTCTGACTGACTCACAGCTGGCTTCTTAGCACCATATGCAGGCTCCAGCGGCTCGGCTCCTCCAGCTGTTGCCTGGCACACAGTGGATGCTGCCCAGCCAGGTCCACTTAGTGGCTTCTTTTGTTCCTAGCTATTTGCCTGCTAAATTCAATCCAAAGGAATATTTATTGTTATGAATTTTGAAGAAAGGAGGATGCTTTAGGACTATGTTAGGTATCCAGTTCTTCCAGGCTTTAGAATAATGGTATTTATTATATCGAGGACAATTTAAAATTTTGATAGTAAGAGGGACTGTGAAGGATGAAGAGGATAGACCTATTTGATTATTTTTCTATTCCTCACAGGTGATGTAAGTAAGAAAGCACCTGGATTTTCCTTCTGCTTTCTTCTTGCAAACACCAAAATCATTCTAACTTTTGAAACCACTCACCAGAAGATCTCTCTTGCTTCTCTTTTATCTCTCTCAATTTTGCTCTTTCTCACACCTGTATATTTTGTCACATGTGCACATTCATCTTGTCACATGTGCACATCACTTGATTAAAGTAGAGAATATTAATGGTTATGTACCATCAGCTTGAAGGAGAAAGTTTGTTGCATAGTTCTTTCATTGTGTTCAGTTGATTATTGTTAAAGCTAGGACACTGTGTACTCTAAGAGTAGTTATTAATTAAGGCATCATTCAGTAGACATTGATGGATGCCCACTATAGGAAATACCAACCTACTTTTGCATCTAAAAAGGAAATTCATAGCACAATACAGCATTAAAGATCTGGATTATGTTTATGCTGCATCTTATTCAAAATCCTATAAATCAAGAAAGTGATTTCTAACCAAAGTTCTATACAATGGAGGGAGTGTTTTAGAAATTACTTGTAGTGGAATTTTGGCCTACATTATGGTTCAATTGAGAGATTTATGTTGAATATCTTTACTAGCTGATGAAACACACTGAATGATTGATACCATTGCTGTTTATTTTGTAGGCAGCCAACAACTACAGAAGCCCCTTCTCCATCACTCAACCCATGGAAGACACAAGGGAGGACATCTATGTCAACTATCCTACCTTCTCTCGAAGACCAAAACCTAGAGTCTAAGCTTTTCTCTTGATATCAGCTAACTAATGATGACTATTAAATACATGGATCTTTATAATTTCTTCCTACCACCCAGTGACTGTCTTGATTCCAGTTGACTAAACTTCTTTCATTGGTAGAGAAAACACTGCATGACCTAGAGAACATCCTGAACAGGAGTGCTTCAGGACACCTGAGTCATGTTAGCTCATACATAAGGAAAACTTGCTGGATCAAGCAACAGAGGAACAGGGGAGACCAGACTTGAGTGAGCGTTACTTACCAGGGCTCTAATGTTGTGTCTAGATTTAGACATGGCCGTAAGCTGGTTCAGATCCCCTCCCACAGCAGTGGATGCACTTGTCTGGCTTTGGCCTAACTCCCATGCTGGCTTTTCTGTGTGCTTTCAAGATGGCAGCCAACCACTGAAGTCATTTGTGACACTGTTTGCATTGGATGAAGTGTTTGTTTTTTTTTTTTAACGCAGCAAACATATTCGATTATTTGCCTATCATCAAGCAGGCATTGTGGTCATTAAGGTGAGATAGCTTACCTTAATTAAGGGTTCACCTGTAAGAGCTGGAGGTGGGGACAAAGCACATGAAGGGGCAATTCAGGGTATTAAAGAAGGAAAGGAACCAGGAAGCTGTGGTTGTTACTAAATGTTGACTGCAATGACATTCCAAGACATCTCTTACTAACCCACTAAAAAGTGAAACTAGATTAGTTCTCTCTCTCTCCTCTCTTCTAGAATCTTCTCTATCATCCATAGTCCAGAAGAATACCTGGCAGCACAATGAATGAAGTCAGAGAAAGATAAATGTGACAGGGTTACCATTTTCTTTTCTAATAGAAAATAAATTTATCTCTGAATCTATGTAGAATTCTTGCCACCACCCTGGGCCTAGCCTAATGAGGAAGTGTGATAGAGGGTCCAAGAATAAATAATGTAAATACTTTTAATATTGATTTTTTTTCTTTTTGCTACCTTTGAGAATTATTTTTACTATCCAAATTCTCTCAAAATGGACAGGAACCTAGGCATTAAGTTCTCTAAAAATAGTTTTGTGTGAAACTTGAATACATGAAGAGAGAACATGGTTGGAAGTGGTGCTATAGGGTTGTAGGGTAGAAATTTGAGCCTGGAGTCGGGAGGGTATGGAGAGGAAATAGGAAAGGAGGGAAAGTCATCGGGGAATAAAGTACAAAGGGAAATGTGGGCTTCACAGTTTGGACATCTACCCTTGTTTTTACTATCATTGCTGAAAGAACTTCATATTTGGATTCATGAACTGTTTCCATGAGTTTATCAGCATGACCCAGTGGAAAGGCCGTTCACCAGAAAACACTCTAGCATCACGTTTATCCAAGATGCTAGGGCCAAATCCCTGAGTTCACATTGTGAACCCATTTAGCACCATTTATAAAATAAGCTGTTTCTTTTTCTCAAAAAGTTTAAAACGATCTGGAAGATTCTGATAACCAAATTCTCATTGATTAATACAGGTGAGAAGTAAAACATTTCTACAGTCTTAACACGAAGGACTATAAATCCCTTCAAAAGAAAATAGCTACTGGGGTGACAGGCTTTCATGATGAAGCACTTATGTGTGCTAGCCCCCAGGATATCTGAAACTCATCTCTGTCTCCCTATTTTTAAATTTTTTTAAAATATCACACTCAAAATATTTATGGGCAGTATTTACTCTGTCCTTTTCTTCTTTTCCATGTGGTCTTGCTATTCGGGAGTTGGGAACCTCCTGCCGCCTGCTGAAGTTCTCCACTGCCTCAGCTCTTGGGCTGATGAGCTTCTTCCCCATTTCCTTCTGGGACACCCTAGCCAGGCACTGTCCTTGCAGTCTCTGTAATCTCTGTAATGCCACACCTACGGCACCAGGTCTTTGAACTCTACCCTCCCCCCTTGCTTTTCCTCTAATCTGTGCTTACTGACCTGGGAGTTACTAGGAAAATAGATCAAAACAGATCCTCAGAGTACAGATCAAGATGGGAATTAAACTATATTTGTGTTTTTATTTTTTTGCAAGATGCTGCTTTGGAAGCAAGATGCAGTCTTAAGATTTTTGTCTGTTTTACATGTATAATTTATATTGGTACATAATACATCATCAAATAAAACCTATGCTTCCTTTGAATACATGATTTTAATATTTACATTAAAAATTACTAATTAAGGAAATTAGGGTGGCATTGGTGGTATAGTGATGAGCATAGCTGCCTTTCAATTGAAGAGATTACTATTTGATAATATGGTAAGTGTGTTAAATGTCATTAAAGAGGATTCAGTTTATCAGGGAAAGAGCACATCTTTAATAAATATAACTTACAGTAACTGTGTATTGATTATATTGTTATCAGAGAGACTTTCAAACTTTGTGTACAGACTTTTATGTTTCCTGAGAAAATAGAGCACAAAGTTCTTTCATTTATTCATTCTTTCTTTTTCTTTTTTTCTTTTTGTGGAGATGGAGAGAAACGTGAGCCTTGTGCACGTCAGGCAAGTGCTCTGCCACTGAGCCCCACCTCCAGTCCAGAGTACGCAGTCCCTCAACTCACACTCACGTTTATAGATTGGGAGAAGTAAATGAGATTATAATTTTTAGTTAGGAAAAATTCAAATTTATAGGATGTTTTAAGTAATTCAGTTTATTATTAAAGTGCTATCCATATTTAAGTATGCTGAAAATCAATTTAAAAGACAAAGTACAATAAAAATAATTTTATTTGATTTGCTTTTACTTTAAATATCTAAATGCTATCAGTTTTTGTAAAATGTATCAAATAAAAATTTCCAGGACTTTGGATCACTTGCCTAGGATGTCTGAGGCCCTAGGTTCAATTCCCAGTACTGCAAATAATAATAATAATAATAATAAAATTACAGTTGTATTATAGTAATTTTTCAAATTGGGAAAGTCTACATTTTTAATTAGAGATCACTTTAATCCAATGCTTCTCCTAGATTTTATATAATATGCTATATTTTGTACCGCTTACATAGAATTCCAGTGAGATGCTTATAAAGTATAGGTGTAGATGCTAAACTGTGACAACAAGGTTAACCTTTTCACCATAATGATATGAAAATATCTTTGAAGATTGTAAAACTATAATATGAACATGAAATATTACTGGCTTATTATTATCACTGGTTTGGGTCATATTAAAATGTAATGTCTAGAAGGTGCTGACCTTCACATTTAGATTTTGATATCAGTTAATGTATATTTCCATTGTTCGGTTTATTGAAATTATTCTAGTAACCCTCTAGGATCTTGTAGATCTATCTGAAAATTAAAAGTAATTTGCTTTCCTTTAAATTTTCTATTGCTGTGATCCAATGAACTTCTCGAATCTACTGCAGTGCTTCTGAGGGAAATTTTATAGATCTTCAGGGTTGGTTTACATATCATATTTTTCTAGATTCAAAGCACTAACTATGTTGTAAGATGCTGTTAGAAAAAGTCTCATTTGGGGTGGTAATCCCAATCCCAAATCCGGGACGATCCTGCCTATTGTTCTTGTTTGATGAAGTTATATGGTTACCTTAATTAGAACACTGTTTCCAGTTATTTCAGATTTTCCATTTGTTGGCCATGCAAATGTTTGCCTTCATTTATTGTATTTTGTTGTTCTGAATGAATAAAATGTAGTGTACCATGACCATCAGTTTCATTTGCTATCAAAGAAGAGTAGGGAAAAATATGTCTACAGAATAAAATTAACCTTCAGAGTTAAAAATGCAGAAATGAAGTTTTTATATTCTGAACAGTTTGTAACATCTATCTCAAAGCAACATTCTGTGTGTTTTATATGCAGTGGACCAAAGAACTATAGGAAGTTTTTTAACCCCTTTTCTCTCTCTTTCTTTATGGCTTGATAAACCTCCATTGCGTACACATATGACATTTTCTTTATCCATTCATCTGCGGGCGGGCACCAACACTGGTTCCGTTGCTTGGCTTTTGTGAATCTTGCTGCTATAAACACTGTGATGCGTGCACTGCTACAGTGTGCTGCTACCTTATACAAAGGAGTGGGATAGCAGGGTCAAATGGTCGTTTCATTCCTAGTCTTTTGAGGAATTTCTATAGAACTAGAAATATTCATAAAATTCATATGGAAAAATAAAAGACCCAGAATTGCCAAACTAATACTAGCAATAATGGAGATGCTGGAGGCATCACAAACCTGATCTCAAATTATGGTTCAGATCTATAGTAACAAAAGTAGCATGGTGTGGGCATAAAAACAGACATTAAAACCAATGGAATAGAATAGAAGACACAGAGACAAATTCATATAGATACAGTCCCATGACAGGTGCCAAAAACATACACTGGAGAAAAGACAGCTTTTTAAACAAATGGTGCTGGGAACACTGGATATCCACATGAAGAAGAGTGAACTGGATCCCTGCCTCTCAACCTGCATGAAAGTCAACACAAAGTGCATCAGTGACGTAGGAATTAATGCAGAAACACTGAAACTGCTAGAAGAAAAAGGGTCAACACTCCATCATATTGGGGAAGGCACTGACTTCCTTACAAAGATTCCTAAATCTCAAGAAATAATACCAGGAATCAATAAGTGGGGTAGCATCAAATTAAAAAGCTTTTATATGCAAAATAAACCAGAGTGTAAAGAGAGCGCCTGCAGAATGGGAGAAAATCCTTGATAGCTACTCTTCAACAGGGGATTAATATCCAAAATAAATAAAGAACTAAAAAACTTAACACAAACAGCAACCCTCCCCCAAATAACCCAATCAATAAATAGACAAATGACCTCAACAGACATTCTTCAGAAGAAAAAGTACAAATGGCCAACAAATATATGGAAAAATGTTCAACGCCTCAGCAATCAGGGAACAGCCCATTCAGACGACACTGAGATTTCGTCTCTCTCCAGTTACGACGGCAGCCGTCAACACCAACAATAATCAATGCTGTCAGATGTGTGGAGAAAAGGAATGTTCTTGCCATGTCGGTGGACGGCGTGTTAGGACCACCTTGGAATGGCTCAGGTATTGGACACTCTGGTCAGGACTCACACTTTCAGGGCTGTTATGTCCCATGAGATAACCAACACCTTGCCACACGTATGTTCCTTTTCATGCTTGTTAAGCTCCTTGTTCTGAATCTCTGTCTTTTTGTGAGAAGAACACAACTCTTTCCTTTGGCTCATATTGATGGGGTATGTCTTTCTGCCACCCTTTAATTTTAAATTATGTGAGTCTTTGTATGGAAAATGAATTTCTTATGGACAACCTATAGTTGAATCTTTTTAAAAAAAATCCACGGTAACACTCTGTCTTCTAATTAGTTAATAGACCATTCAACTATAAGTGATTATTGACATAGTTGGATAGTATCTACCATGTTTGTGACTGTTTTCGATGATCACACCTATTCTTTGAATTTATATCTTCCCTTCTGTTTTCTTCCTTCCATAGTTTTAATTGTCCCCCCTCCCCATGTAACTCTGGTTTTTCCCTTAACATATTTTATTTGGTGTGCTCTGAGCTTCCTGATTCCACGGTTTAGTGTCTGTCGTTAATTTTGGCAAGTCTGTAGACACTATTATTTCAAATATTGTCTTCCTACATTCTCTTTTTATTCTCTTTCTGGGATCCTGATTATGTGCTCGTTTTGAAATCATTCCGTCGTTCTTGGATGATCTTTCTCTTTTCCTGCTTACCTTTTACTTTCAGAAGTTCATAGTGACCAGTCACGATCGCTGATCCCTTTTGTCCGCTGTGCCAGGTCTAGTGATGATCCCAACGAAGGCAGTGTTTGTTTCTGTCACCGTGCTTTCATTTCGAGCAGTTGATTCTTATTTCTTCTTAGAATCCCTTTCTCTGCCTACGCTACCCATCTGTTCTTGCTGGTTGTCTAGCTCCTCCACAGAGCCCTTAACCTGTTAAGGATGATTTCCATGTCTGATGACTCTGACGTGAGTCATCGCCTCTCTGGTCCAGTACTGGCTTTGTCTCCTCCCACCGTAGCTGGTCTTGCCTGTGAGCACGCGTCACAGTTTTTTCCTTGAAAGCCAGACCTAGCGTATGGCATATTGGGAACCAAGGTGGATAGGGCTTTGGTTTGCAGACTTACCTTAACCTGACCGGATGCTGGACTGAGTGGAAGTCCATCACAGCTATAGGTGCTAAATACTTTCATGTCCCTCTAGTGTCCTGTGGCTTTTGTTTGTGTGCTTGGTTTCATTTCTCTCTCTTTTTCTCTTTCCCTTTCTCTTCTGGCTTCCCTACCTACTCCCTGCTCAGAGAGGCTTTCTGTTCCAGTGCCTTCCTCTGTAATTCTCTGCCGTTGTCCTGGGACCCTGTGGCCGTGTGGTGAGTCACCACAGTGGAAGGAGAGCGTCTCTAATCTCATAATCAAGAATCAGGCTGTCAGTGGGCCTGAGACTGCAAGTTCTCTCGTGCTGTAGCTTCCACCTGCCCTTCACTTGCATTCCAGTGCATTCCCTTGAAAGCCTAACCCCGTTGACTTATGATTTTTTTTAATTTTATTTTTTCTTTCTTAGGTGGGATAGGTGGGCTGCAGGGTCTAGGACTTTGTGTGTGAACAGGTGAAGATCTTTTCCCTGGTGGTAGGCCTTTGTTACTGAGAAGCCGCTTGGCTTATTTCCTGAAGCTTCCCCTTCCCCTGCCAGAGCTGCGAGATTTGCCCTGGATCCTTGTATTGAGAACCTGGTGGGTGTCCTGGGGGGGAAGACTCAGAGCAAGTGGGGAGACCTTTCAAGTCTCTAGAGTTCACAAGAGGCTTTACTCATACTCATGACCAAATGGCAGCAGTCAGCTGACTTGCCGGTAAGCGCTCCTGCAGCCTGGGGTTCCAGTGCCACAAGCAGAATGCTTCCTGATTCTCTCTGGATTTGTCTGTCACTCCAGAGTTTTGGGGTACCTGTGTTTTCTGGGACCTCCCTCCTGTAATAGGTCTAAGGAAGTCACAGATTTTCCCTTTTCTTGCTTTTGCTTGACGTGAGCTCGGCAGCCACATCTTGCAAGCTCTTTACACGTTGGCAGTGGATGCGCAGGTCCTTCTCCACGTACTGGTAGGAAGTGTGGGTGTGCTCTCTTGGTTCCTGAGCGGTCTCGTTGCCCTGACTTCTTGACACTGCACTAGGGTGGCTGGATACTGGACACTGTCCCATTGACTTTCTAGTCTGTGTTGCTCCTTGGCCCATTTTTATGAATGGGTGTATTATTTATGGTATATACAAATCAGGTACATATTTATTTAAAAAAATAAATACAAAATGAAATATAGGAGACAATCTAAAGATTAGCATGGGATCCTACTCAGTTTTCCTGATTATGTTTAGGTCAATATTTTTATTATAAAATTTTCTGAGTCCAAAAAGAAGCAAAGGTAATAAAAAGAAAATTTGTCCAATGTCACAAAATAAAATATGTGTAGTCAATACAATCAATAAAAAGTAAAGCAGATGTAGTCAGTAAAGCTCACTCACCACTGAGCACCAGATTTCAGGAAATGTTTTTAGAATTCTGCTAAAACAAAACAAACAAAAATGCAAGTCATATTGCAGCATTTTGCTGTATTTGATATTAATTTATTTTAAGGTTTAGTTACACAAAAAATAAATAAGCATTTGAAGGCTTCATGATAGGAGGCAAAGAAGTGAGAGCATGGTCCAGAGATAGTCATCCTAGTTTGCTCACTGCATATGGCTGAATAACATAATACTGCAAAACTTTACAGACTGATCATTGAATGATTTCTCCTGAAACGATACCCTACTTAATAGGAGTAGTGTTAAAGTTGAGCGTTCCTATTAGTGTCAACTAATAAACCACCAGAAAACCTAGTGCCCAAAATATGTCACCATCTCTTCCAGATTAGGAAAAAGCATGAATAATAACAAGCAGTCAGGATCACATCACGCAAGCTTCAGGGAAATGTGGTGTCCGTGGAGGAGCACAAAAAGACAAGTGTGATCTACTCTTGTCTTGGGTTCTACTCAAGAGTCAATAGCGACGATCTGAACTAAGAGATGTCATAGTATTCTGAAACTCACTAACCCACTGAAACATGGTCAAATATAGCTTCCACTGGGATTGTTTGTTTCCAGTGCCAAACACCATGCTATAATGTCTCTTGGCTGAAGTGTCTTTTAGGTCCCTCTGCATATTGCATCTCGGCTGAAGGGGTCGGAGGCACAATGTCCCACGAAGCAGGGAGTCACGTTCTGCTGGTGAGCAGAGTGCACGTTGTGTCCTCTGTGTAAGGTAATGCTGGTTTCACCTGAGATGCCCACTCTCACCCCAAAGCAGTCTAGGTCGTGCACATATTGAAGACATCGGTGAGTACTCCTTACCATTTAATTTCCTAGTCATGCCATCTATGAATTCTAAACTTAAGGCAGTCCTCCTTCACTTTCTTTTCCCAGGCCAATCGTGCCCTTTTAGATGGAGAAAGCTGTCCTCTTTCATTGCTCAGAAAGAGGGTCCAGTAGGTATGGGGAGTAGGGGCCCTACGGGAGGGTGCCGAGTAGAAGATTTTAGATATATTACTTATCACGTTTTATTTATATTATACTCCGGAGAGCGAGGTGACTGGTTAGAGTGAAATGGGTTATTTCTAGGCAGCAGCCTTAATATTTATTTTTTGGTGGAAGGTATATCAAGCTGTAGCTCTTCACTCAGCTCCCTGAAATGTAATTAGATTTGTTTTTAAAAAAATAGACACCTTGAAAACAGCTGGCACCTAAAAATAACATTTCATAGACACTGGAACAAGAAAGGAATTTATTAAGCCGAGTGGTCCTCAGAGGACATTCAATGAACAGGACTGGGTTACATATACCTCTCCACAGGGTGAGCTCCTTAAGGGAGGGATCAAATCTTACTTTTTGATCCCTGCGGCACAAAGATTAAATTAATGCTCTTCAAATTGAATTTTGAAATAGTATTTTCTCCTTTGACCGCCTCACAATGGAAGTTTGATTTGTTCAGAAGAGAATTCTGCATTTGGAATCGGCCTCTGTAATTCACACGTGTGTAGGAAGTGGCATGAGTGAGAATATCCATATGTATATTGGTCTTACATATAAGTTTGTGTTAAAAGAGGAAAAGAGGATTTTTAAAAAAATGATTAAAAAATGTATAGCATTCAAAAAGCAAGAGATGATTGGGAATTTCATTAGACTATATTGTGTAATAATTTTCTGTGATTAAAACCAGTCTATTCAGACTTGGGTTCTAATCAAGAGTCAATAGCGACGATCTGAACTAAGAGATGTCATATTATTCTGAGGAGAGGAGGAGAAATTCAGAGACAGCTCTGAGAAGTGCATCAGGAAGCTGGTGTGACAGTGTCTCTGCCTTCCCGTCTCTAGCCACCTCTGTGTCTCCTGGGGTGGCCACACGCCCTTCACCTCAGAACTACTCTTGATATTGAAGTATGTCAAAAGGAATTAAGGGAGGAAAGAACAAAGACTGAGAGAGGTGGTAGATGCTTCTTCCATGTCTGAAGATGACAAGAACTCAGTAAACAGCGCTGGCCCTTGGAATCAGAGCCTGATAGCCTCAAATACCTACATCTTGGGATAATTCATGTTTCCACGAGTGTTTAAATATTCAATCCAGTTCTTGTTCCACATTTATTTTAATAATTCATCATATGGATACCAAAATTAGATAAACTTGTCTAGCTTGGAAAAAGAGAGAGCTGATTTCTTTGTACATTGCAAAAATAGCAGAGTAATTGCTTTGGGGCTGTGCCCTGTGACATGTATTTATTAAATATCTCCTTTGATGTCAGCTCTAAGCCTGTATAGACTTTTACACTCTTTTCAAAGACACATTTTTCAGTAAATATAGTCCTTGTAATTTTAATAGTGACAAAAGGGAAAAGAAAATCCACCAAGTCCATATCACCCATTTGTTACAAATATGGCATAAAAGTTCATATTCAGAATAAACTGTATTTCATTTGGCATCAGGAAAGCAGGGCTGTTTTCATTCTCGTTGCTACTCCTGGGTATTTTATAAACTTCTTCTGGCTCAGGGGATGGAAAATCCCATGCATTGTTCATGACTTTGGTTGGACCCACCCACAGGAGGACACGTCAACAGGACTGAGTGCCGGATCCAGGGTGCATAACTGAGAAACCCATTGTCCAGTGTTAGGGAGGTCCCCACTCTCTTTAAAGGCTTGAATCCCTGGGAGGAAAGAAACTTGTAAAACAAATTCATCTAATAAAGTAATCAGGAAACCCAGCCAATGCTGTTTGAGAAACGGATTTTGTAAATGTACTTCTAGGCAGGTCTAAATCCCAGGGATAGAGGTCTATCACAGGATAGAACGTAATAAGGGAAGCCACTGATTGCTAAATCAGGGAGCTGGCGAGGACAGTGTCTAATTGCATGCATTTACCAAATATTTATTTTCAATATTTTTCTTTGGTTATTAAAGAGTGAGTGTTGGAAGAAAACCCATTGTCTAGTTGTATCCCAAAATAAAAGTCACTTACATTCTCTGGCTATCTCTTCACTAGAAAATAATGTGTTGATCTCTAATGTCACCTTCAACGTAATATGCTATGATTCCACCAGACCAGATTCAACATAACAGAAATTAAATTACATTATAAGATAGGGTTGGGAAAACACTGGAAATACATAATAAATTCTCAGTAACCTTACATTTAATAAAGGGCTTTCTTTTACTTTATTTTGAAAATAGCAAGCTAATAAGTGAAGGAATAAGTAACATTTTAAAGGTTAGCAGAGAATGATTGTCAGAATTCTGTTTAATTACATAGTTACATGTCATCACATAATAACAGAAATGTAAGAAAATCATTTAATATTATAGTGCTAGCAATATTAAATAACCCATGGGTTTTGTAAAACCACCGATTTATTTGTTCAAGGTCTCAATCATGCAAAATGTTGGTGTAAAGTAATATTTGGAACTGCTTTACCTTTTTTTTAAAGTGGTGAAGCAAATTTTGATATTGCACAACTATAGATTTTCCTCCTTGTTTCAATATCATTTGTAAATTTCTTGGAATTATATAAGAATATAAGACATTGAGAACAATAGATTAGGTTTATCAATTAAGGACTGATATATGTATATATGTATATACATATATATGTATACTATAAATTCAGAAGAAGGTAATTCTTCAACTATGTATTTCATGTATTTTAATCAAGGGGAAAAATCACACAGACATCTTTAAAAATAATTGAATTTCCTAATTTTATTATTGCCTCATTATTATTTTCTGTTCTGCCAGAAATTCACACTTAGGTTCCAGGGACAGCTATTCCTTTGCATTTCATTCCAGAAAAGTGGCCCAACTAGTATTTAAGTACAGAGTTCCCAGACTGTCATTTATTTGGAATAAATTAAAACTGAAAATAAAGTATGCCCGATCGTATATTTTCAGACAGAAGAAAATTTGTAATGGGCGTTTTATTTCTTGTTAAGGGCTTAATTTCCAATGCCATTTTAATCAAAATGATCATCAATATTCAACCAACCACAAATGACATCCCTTTATAATGTACAATATACTATTTCACAAAGTATACATAAATTAATTAAATAGAGCTTTACAGAAAGCAAACATATATAACTTAATACAGTTTGGAGATTCCTAGAGATAAAAATTTTGGCAAGATAAGGTAATTCTATGTGGACCTAAAAAGAAAAAAAGATAACTACAGTGGAACATAAGAGTGGGTCAAAAGCAAAATGTGTGTGTGTGTGTGTGTGTGTGTGTGTGAGAGAGAGAGAGAGAGAGAGAGAGAGAGAGAGAGAGAGAGAGAGAGAGAGAGCTGGGGTGCAGGGTGCTGAGATGAAGCAGCCCCTGCAGATCCTGGGAGGTCTCCTGTCATCTGTAGTGATGACATCACTGGCCTTCATGTCAGGGAGCTGACTGACTTGCTGATGTACCGCCTGGTGTAATGGAAAGATAGAGTAGCTCACAACTGGAAAGAACCATACACTCCATTACAGTGGGGCTCCTCCCAAATGTGAAGCTGTAGTCCCCCTCCTTCCATTCTTACACACACACACACTTTTGGCAAGTGTTAAGCATTGTTTCTTGAACTACGCAATAGATTTGTGAATCTGAATTTGAATCCCTGAATTACTATTTCATATTGCCCTGTATTATCTGTTTCTGATTCGTATTTACTCTCAAGGGCACTCCTATCTTTTAGTTCTTCCTTTTACTCCCTTTTCAGCACCTCTGTCGAAGAGTCAATGGTTGGGAACCACCATAGAAACCCTCTCAAGGTGTTTTCTTAGAGAGAAATTCTACAGGGACTTTGAAAGATTAAGTCATATCTCAATCTTCTTCTTTGCCTGAATTCAGGTTTTTAAACTTCAGCTGTGTGGTAAGAAGCAATGCTTTTGAGACCGTGGGTCTCTGGGGGGAATTAGGATTAAGTTCCAAGGATGGCACCCTGCAGAATGCCGCAAGCCGCCCTGCTCTGCTGGGTGCAAGGTTCTGCATCTACAGAAAGGGTGGGTTTCATGCTCAGTCCCTCATCATACCATAGGTGGGAAACAGAAAGGAAGTTAATTGTATTAGCTACTAAAATTGGGCCCCAAATAATTATTAAAAAGCTTATATCCAGTTATTCTCCTGTGGAATACAGACTTGGGAAATAAACATAGAAGATACATTAAAAGAAATCTTTAGTATGTAAATGGAATTATTAGAAGGAATATTTCTATAATAAATGAATTTTTTCCTCTCCATCAAGTATTTACAGGATATTAAAACCTTAAATCAGGGGAAAATGTCTGAAAATTACAAATTAAATGTTTTCATGTTATTTAGTAAGTAAACTAATTTTAACATAGTTCTTATTTATACAAACTTCAGTTAATTTAAATAACTGCTTATTGAAGTTTATAAGGAAAATTTGATGTGTAAGGTAATTTTTTGTGTGTAAGGTATTTGTAAAAAAAATTCATCTTTCAAACTTCTTTTGAGAATGGAAGATTTTGAAGTTCTCATGAAAAAATGTAACCCTGATTCATCAATTGTCTAACAAAATTACGATAAATGTCATAAATACTGACATCCTAAAGTGCTGTGGAGGGATAAATATGGCAAATAATAATCATAATTAAAATATGAAGAATTCGTAGGACTGAGAAATACACACTCCTATTTATTTATTTTTTTTAGTTAAACTATTTACTATAGGATAAAGCAGAAGAGAGACAAGAAAGGAGGTCACAAAAGGGTGTAGGAGGTATTGAGGAGTGAAGCTGATCAAATTATATTTTTATATATTTACTAATATGCCACAGTGAAACCCATAATTTTGTATAATTAGTATGCACCAAAATATCATATATTGATCTGCAAAAAATAAGTTTGAATTTTAAATAAATAACTGGATAACAATTTGAAAGTAATAAAGCTTATGCCAGTCATTAACAACCTACAAGCTTAACGTAATGTTCCAGAAATTCTCTTTAGGGATATAGCTGGTAGTATGTTCAAAAAGAACAAGAACAACTCAAAGAGTTAAAAGGACAAGGCTTAGTTATTATGAGACCACGTGGCATTTCTCAGCTCCCACTATGTCTAAATGGGAGACAAGCTGGGGCCGAGGAAACCTTCCTGGACCTGGAGCTTGAAACTAGGTTGTTTAATTTTTTGCCATTGAACAAATTATGGGTTTCAACTCTCTCTTGAGGGAAACATAAAATGAGACCTTTATGCTACATGACCTTTAAGATGGCCTTAAGAGCTGGCTAACATTCCACCTGTTTCAAAAATGTGTCCAGTATCTCATGATACTTCCACGAGTGTCTATACACTATGTAAAACTTCTTCTTTCAGAATGATTGTACAAATGGTACAAGGTTCATAGTCTTAATTGATAAAGTAGGATTTGCCCAGTTCCACAGATTTAAAGGTGGGTAATCTTGAGTATGTTTATGAAGATTGCGCCCATGAGGTTGCTGATGTCTTCCCACATGTTTAGACTCTCACCAGGCTCACTGATAATGTATCTTCACAAACTACCCAATGAGGTTGTCCATGGAGAAGTTTTTCCATGGGGACCCATTCTTTTGTGTTAATTTTTTTTTCACAAATGGAAAGAGGCATATTGGTTGACAAACTGCTTGACCACCTCCCTGTGGTCAAGGTGTAATGCAGCAGCCATGTCTCTTTAAGCAGCCCACTTAGCAGCAGATGACACTAGAAAAGAAGGCCACACCATGACATGAAGCTAGGTCAGAATGCTAGGAAAGTAGGGTCCAAGTGTTACTCTGGACATTTCAATGGATTCTTTATTGTTTTGTCTTACCAAAATTGTTTTGTTTTACCAAAATTGTCCTCCTGAATAGTGACCACCCTCACTATTCCTTCCACAGGAAGTTTCATAGCCTGCAGATACATTCTTTATAAATTTCATAGGCTAAAAATTCACTTGTGTGGCATATCACCCATTGTCATAACTACTAATGCATACCCAGAGGCAAATTTTTACTTATTTTTGAGAAGGTGGTGTTCCAGAACTTATTTAATTAATGATTGATAAAGTAATTAGAAATTCCAAGATACTGATAGACATGTTAGTAGAATTGGGGAAAATGCATAATCTTCACTTTGGACAGTTTTTAATGTAATTCTTTTGTGTGAAACATGAAGCATTACAAGGCCTAAAGCTCACCCCCATTGAATATTGCCTGCTGATTGTGCTGTTATGATGGTCAAATCTGGACTATACTTTGTTATAAGAATATAATCACTGTAGCTTGTTTTCACTATAGCAATAAAGGCTGGCTTTTGTAAAGGTTCCAATAATCAAGGGAGTAAGGTACTCATGCTTTTTTACAAAGTTTTCTGAGGTATTGACCAAAGACTGGGGCTAGACGTCAACCTTTATGAAAGATTTTTAATATCTACTATAAAGATACCACATGCGATAAACTGGATCAGTAGAAAGCACTACTAACAGTGTTAAGTTGTTTATCAGTCCATTGTGTCTATGTTGGACAGAAGATATAAGTGACTGGCCATTTTATTGGTGATAAATGATTTTCAAACATAATTGCCTGATGAAGACACAGAAGAATTATACAAGATACCAGGACTAGTACTTTAGATACTGTTTGGTGAAAGAGGTGTGGCTTAGTTTTAATAAATAGATTTCACTTTATTTTACATGCTCTATCAAACAGCATCTTCCCTAATATATAGTAAATATATATTTCGTATTTTGTCAAATTCAAATTGTAGCAGTGGTCAAAACATTGATTCATAAATATTTCCAACCTGCATAAATAAATTAGCTCTGAGTGCCTATCGTTTGTTCAATAAGTAAGTGAGAGATCTGTTTTATTCTCCCCTTTCCCCAGAATAATGAGCCATTGGGTCAAGGTCATTTTGTTCTAGTCTGCATTTTAAATAGAATGTCATGTGTTGGCCATGTGTACTTTATAATCAGAAGGAAAAAAAAAAACTAGGAACATAAAAACAAATCCCCTCATCTAATCCTTCTGTGAACTGTGCAGGTATGCTTCTAGTCTTTCTCTGCCATTAGAAGAGACTTCACTATGTACCCTGAATTCCTTCATCATTGGTCTTTTCCAACCAGGTGTAAAAATGGCGCCAGCTTCACTCATCTGTACAGATCTGGGAGAAACCCCAACTGAGTCACTTTCAGAAGGAGCCCAAAGATGTCTTTGGTTCATAGCAATCCCTCTCTTGTAACAAAAAGCCGCATGTATATTAAAGATATACATATATAAAGAAAGACCTTGAAAAGTTCAGTGGCATCTTCAATCACAAATGTATGAGCTCAGTGGAATTGAGCACAAGTCCACGGGCATTCTGTCACTCCAGTGGAACTGATTCTATGAAAGTCCAAGAGACCAGTACAAGCATCTTGCCATCTTTGGTTTTGTAGATGATTTATCGGCTTGTCATTTTTATTTCAACGACAGTGCCTTACATCAAGTGTATTCGGTTACTGTAAATTCTCTCTCTCCATAGCCATTTTGACTTCACTGTAATTGTAAATATACTTTGAGGAGGATGTTAGAATAAAGCTCTAAAAAGGTATTGTGAGGAATTTTATAGCATTATTCTCATTGTGATGAGATTGTGCTAAAGATTTGGGAAGCCAATTTCTCTTTCACATACTCTTTTGGTGACATTATTTTCAGAAAAAAATGGCCCAAGGTTGCGCCTGATCCTTGGTGCCTTTTACTTAACACTTACTGGCAACGATCAGAACCAAACTGTGTTCCTGAAGGAACTTCATGCCGATGTTTGTCTCCCACCAAAGAGACACAAGAGCAGGCTCGTGTAATTAGCAGAATCCCCCTGGACTCGCTGTCTGTGCTTCTGGCACATTAATAAAGCTGAGACATGAACGACGACCCCTGAGGGCCTTTCCCCATAAGTCCCTTGTAGAAACTTGTGGTTGTCTGAGCAACAGCTCGACTGAGTGAGCCGGCCAGAGCCCCTGTGTGTTGGCCGCACTAGGAACTGTGCTGAAGTGGTCTCAGCTGGGAGCTGCTCTGGTGGATTTGACCAACCGGCATTTCTAAGGCAAATGCCATGTGCTAAAGAAATTCAGAAATGTTAACCCCGAAGGCTGGAATTTCAGGAAGGCTGTATCCTTGAAAGAAACAGGTCATCTGCTCCTCTGCTGTATCAGCAAAATTTGCAGTGCGGGGTGTTTGGGTAATATTGTTCTCTCCCTGAAAGCGTAATGCAATTATTTTTTGCAGCCACATTAACTCTTATGATTAGCATCTTGATGGGGTTTTCATACCTAGTGACTGATTCAGAAGCTAGGTAGTTGCTTAAGTGCACATTTATCAAGGAGGAATGAAGACCATTTTTACTCAGTAGTGATTCATCGAAATGAATTGCCAATCAGCTCTTAAGCTATGTTTAGGGATAAAAAAGATTCTAGCAGAGATTAGCAAAAATGTACCCTTTCTATATTGATAAACCTCGATAGTTTAACATATTTTACTATTAAGAAAAATAATCAAGTTTTCATCTTGCCTAATGGGACTTGCCAGTTTTTTAAACCCACCCTGGAGTCATTGAGAGATAACCATCTTAGAAACATGGCGTCAGATGACTCGGGCAGAATAATTGCTCTTTTTACTTTAAGACTCAGGACAGATATACCAGTGTCGATCTGAATTAGCCAAACTTCCTCAGTTCACACAAAAATCGCCACTTTCCTTTAAACCTTACATGTCTGTTTAATGCAGGGCTTAAACATTTATATGTGATCCACTTTCTCTTATAATCCCAGACAAACCTTGTCCAGCCCAAGAAAAAAACAAAGCCCAGTCAGTGCTGGTCACACAATAAGTTACAAGCCCCCAGTGGCTGTGGATCGTCATCTACAAAATTTTAGATCTCAGTATCTGCAATCCAGGACCTGTTGTACTCTTGACCACAAAACAGCTGAGTTCTTTTTAAGTGTTTTTGTTTCTTTCTCGAACAGTTTCTCACGTGGAGACTCCTTGGTCCTCTGAGGGTAAATGGAAGCTGGTCAGTGATCACACCGACTCTTCCTTGCATGGCTCAGGTGGACAGCAGAGGGGAGAAACATCGAGAACAGCAAGGCCACATGGACCAGACGGCGAGACGCCGCGAGGGGTGGGGCAGCTGGGCTGGTTCTCCTGCTTCCAAAACAGTTCCCTTCCACATTTATACCTGCCTGTCTCACAGGAGAAGACTGGACTACTTAAAGACTGTGGCTAAGGAGAAGCTGTGTTTAAATAGCACTATTTTAGAAATAGCTATTCAATATAACAATCTGAGTTTTAATGCAACGAATTGTAGTTTTCAACAATTTAAGTGAGCATATCCTGTCACCCTCAGCATGTTGGATATATACTTGTAGTAGATAGATGGATATAGTGATATCCATATCTATATTTGTCTACACACCACACACACACACACACACACACACACACACACACACGAGCTACAGGGCCCTGCTCAAGAGAGAGTGCTCTAATTTCACCTTCCCTTAATTGTCATTGGTCTTAGTTATGTGTTAACTTAGAGTTAAGATGCCATTTGTGGAGCTCACTGGATTTGTCCCTGTCACAGAGCTCGGAGTGGGTCATGGCTATGTCCAAGGACAGACCCTGTGCTCAGACAGGAGGATTGAATCAGGCACTGGAAGGGCCCGTTCCCAGGCACAGCCCAGTGCGGGTGATGTCCCCCAGTGAACAGGCTTCTGCTACTGTCAGACCCAAAGAATTTTGCTTAAATGACTGTTCATACGATTTGGATTCTATTTTTGTAAAACACAGATTCCCCCATAGAAATTCAATAAATAAAGGACTTAACCGCTGAATCAAGGAAGCGAACTCCAGTTTTTAACCTTCCTGTGGGATTGGGCGAGACCTGGCCCGCGTCAATTGGTGCTGCAGGTGGTCTTCCAGGAGGCGGAGGGCGCAGTGACCCTCAGGCAGGTCCAGGGCAGACTGTCACCGTGGCCGCTGGGTGTCATTGGATGAGGCTGGCGCTGTAGCTGAAGCCATAGCTGCTGGACCGCGACAAGGGCTGCTGGGTCTCCTCGCTCTGTTCAGGGGCATAGCTGGGAAACGTCTGGGCACGCGACATCTTGGAGGCACCGAAGCCATGACCTAGAAGGCAGGAAAGGAGAGCGGTGCTGAGAAGCAGATTCAGCAGACCAAGGGATACTGCAAAAGCCAATCACACAGCAAGACTCCAGATCCATGGAACTGAGCTAGCTGTGCGGAAGCTGGTGAGAGTCTGGAGACCTCTGTGTCTCCATCTTTCATGAGTTAAAAGTCTTGTAGTCAGGGGTCAGGGTTTCCCCAGGTGCATCCCTCTGAGAGTTCTGGATGCCAGAGAACTAGGTACGTTCTGTAGGGATCTCAAACTTCTGTCCATTAACTTTTGAAAGAAAAGCTGGAAAGCTTTTCCCCCCCAAGGCTGCTTTTGATGGAGAGCCTGTTAGGGGTTTTCTTTTCTTTTTGGCTCTCTTTTCACATACAAAAGCCAATTGCACACTTTCTTAAAACCCTCTGCGAGCAAGCAAACTACACTCAGTCTTAAGCAACCATCAATGACTAAGGAGAAAGAGTTTACAATGACAGAGTTAGGGGCTCTGGTTTATCTTGGTTGGGTTGTCCCTGTCAGTGAAGCATGGTTCACCAAAATGATAAGCCTTGATGGTCACTAAAATGGCCTAACACTTGGATCTTATGCAAGTATATTTAAAAAGGCTTGGACTGTTCAGAGATAGCTTTGTGATGAGAACATGTCAACTGCAAACCGAAATGAAAGTCGTCCCTGAAAACGTGTCACAAGGTCAAAATGTGTGGAGAGAGTGTGCATGCCGAAGTTCCCATGCACTTCCCAGTAGCTGCCTCATCCTTTCTGAGCCAGTAATTATCCTTCATGCTTGAGGATGATTTGTGCTACTGGAAACATTGATCTAGCAAGCCAGAGTTTAGATTATACTCAAAGGAAGAGGTGTCTTCCATTTGATTTGTATGTTCTCCGATCTCTAGAGTGAGAAACGCAGAGAAGACAATCTGTTCGCTCAAGAACATGGAATGTCTCATTGTGGATTCAGTGTCTCTGTCTTCTGCAATGTCATAGGCTTGAAGCCATTGTCATGTGTGTTGATGCCTCAAGAATACCCTTGCTGCATGGGGAACTTGGGATTCAGGGTGGACACCAAGGGAATTGGGTAACAAAGGGGTAATTAAAACTGGTAGAAAGAACAGGCTAAACGTTAACGTTGTGAGAGAGAGAACTCTTTCCTTCTGGATAAAAACATTTTAGCTTCACTGTTTGCTGACCCTCTTGCTGGCCCTCTTGCTGACTGAGCAGGGAAATCACAACAGACAGTCACTGGCAGACCTGGGGGAGGAGAGGGTGGGTGGGGCAGTTCCTCCTTCCCCTTCTGGCTCACACTTCTGCAGTGCCTTCTGAGTTCCAGTACCTTCTGCTTCTTCGGCTCCTGCACTTCCTCTCTGTCTCCTAGGTCCTGAAGCCCTTTTTCCTCCCTGGGGCCCTCAGGTCTGATGGTGGCCAGGCCTTCCACTGTGAGTCCCTCACAATTCCCCAGGTTTCCTGGACTTTGCCCACAGCTCTCCAAAAGTCCCTTCTTAAACTCTCTTGGCGTCTCCACCGAGTGTGTGTTCCCTCTCCTGCAGGACCTGGAGCCACAGTGAAGGAAGAAGAGCAGGGCCAGGGTGGACAGGGCGAGAGAGGGCCTGGAGGGCTGGTAAGGGAAGCTTTAGGGGTGCGAGGGCTGGCGTGGGGACAGATTAGAGGGGTTAGACCAGGAGAAGGCAGGTCAGGATGTCTGGGGCTTTGACACCAGGCACATGTGAGGCCTCTTGTACTGTGTGGCTGGCAGCTGACTTTAAGGTACTCACTTCTCTTTGGGTTTCTCAGTTTCCTTATCTGCAAATTCTAGATGCTAATAAAGCCACTTAGTTTGTACGACCTTTAGACTATTAAACCAGTGAGTTGATCCGTGCTAAGTACTGCCATTCTGCTGAGGGGATCCAACACCATGGCGGTCTCCAAACTGCCCTCCAGGGCAACTGGGGAAGGCCTCTCTCAGGAAGTGGCATCTGGCATGACTTTCTATGGCCAAGTTCTGATACACTGATCTGATAGGGGAAGAGGCATCACATTTTTAGTGATTTTATCCCCATATCTTAACATTTATAATTCATAGCCAGTGATATTCCATAGTTTCTCTAAGTGGGAATACTGGTATTTATCAGCCTAAAGCAGATAGACAGTATAATATTAAAACTATATTCCTGGCCTTGGTTCTTATTCATTTATTCTTATTCCTATTATTTTTAAAGTTTTCGAAATATCTTTAACTCACATTACTTTGTGGGCTGAAAGCTAAAAATTCAATAATTCACTTCACCTATGAACACGTTTTTTTTTTTATCCTAGAATGTTGAGACTAACAGGTGCATCATGCAACTAACAATCAGCAATCATGGACAAACATAGTACCGGACCCTGTGGGCAAGGCCCCCTGTGGAGAGAAGGTGCCTGCCTCTCTGGTTGGCAGGCTGCTGGGGAATGAGGGTCAGACCAAGAACAACAGACGGCACCAAACCAAGAGTCCACAGGGCCTCGCTGGCGATTCCCAGGAGGCAGCTGGCGGAGCTTATGAGAGCTGCGTCCCGAAACCACACAGGTCACTAGGACAACCAGAAGGACTTCCTTCCTCAGAGTGCACACTTCCCCACCACTGCCCACAGCCTGAGTTCTGCTGTGCGGCTCCGGGCCTCGTGGTCCTGATGGGAAGAGCACCCTCTCCAGAGCAGACCCACAGGGGCTGCAGGGCTGCAGCCAAAGTTGGTTCTCCTCCTCCTTCCGCAGAGTGGGCCCATCTTCCTGTCACTCCTTCTGCACCCCCAAGACGCCCCCAACCCCCTGCCGGCTTCCTCTACCATCTCTATGTGCTGTCTCTCACTGGTGTCTTTCAAATGTCATTCTGTTTCAAGGTCAACCTTGTCCTCTTCACCTCTTCTGTGAGTCATTTCTAGTCTAATTGGAAATGAATTCATGGTTTTTCTTTCTTCAACTGTTTATTTACAGACAACTTACAAACTATGCTATTTAATGCTTATCACAAAAACAACACACCTCAATCAGAACAGAATACATAAAGGCTTTACAAATGCTGTTTGATTTTGGCAGAGTAAGTGTGTGAACAAAAGAGAGAAATAATTAAGCATTTTCTCAACATTCATTTGAATTCTGCCCTGAGGCACTATTGATGAAAGCGAAACAAAAATCCACTCCCCGGGCTTAAATCAACAAGGTGAGGAAACAACTTTGTTCATCTGTGATGCTGAGATAGCGCAATCGCTTCCTGAACTTTCCCCTCCAGTCCCCCTTAAAGACAAATGGTTGAATCTGGACCCGGGAATCTGAGGGCAGAAAATTTGTAATGGGTGTTCTATTTCTTAACAAGGGCTTAATTTCCAATGCTATTTTTATCAAAATGATCAGAAATATTTAGCCAACCACAAATGACATTTGTTAACAATCATGACTCTATTTTAAAAGTCCTCTTGAATTTTGATTTTGATTCCATTGTGTACTCATGTTTGTTTTAATAGAAAATAACATTTTCTACTATATTTTCAGGTAATGTTGACAAACTGGGAAAAAAAACCAAACCCACAATGTCTTTACCTGGTGGTTTCAAGTACACTTTGAAACATACCCCAGCCTGCCAGCTTCTCCCTGTGGTATGTACGCAGGCCCAGAAACATAGTCCCACTCCATAAATAAGGAAATCTACTGGACACAGAGACTTTTGAAACATTTGCTTTATTGTAATAGAATTGTAGGAAATCACCCCAACCCAATTCTGGGAACTCCAGAGTGCCACACAAGAAGGGCAAAACCACCCAGCCTGGGAGGAGGGAAGGTTCCCTGCTGTGCTATAAACATCCAAACTGGTAATGCAATTGGAGAGTTGCAAATGTGGTAGAAAAGAGCAGCTGAATGGGAAGGCAAGACCAGCGGTTCCCACTCTGCACCGAGAAAACAATCAGGCCAACCCATGACACTGTCTCCCTCCTGAGGAGTAGGGAGGTCCTTGGCCGTACAGAGGCCTCGCTGAGCAGGGCATTCTGGTGGGTTCTGGTTTTTCTACTCTTTCTTCACATGTCATCTAAGGAAAATACTCTTTGTAGGAAGTCAGAGGATCCAAGGCATAAAACATGTGGCCATAATTGGTAAAGGCAGTGGGCCAAGTAGAGGTGCTGCATGATTCTCTGTGTGTCTTATTAATTTGCTAGGTCTGGGGATGATGAAAGGGTGCTGTTCCCTTGAATAATAAAATAAAATGAAAACACAAAGTGCAAAATAAACAGGTAGCAATGCTCCTCGGAAGGAAGGGAAGTGCCGGGAGTGAGAGCGCTGGCCACCACTGGTCCTGGAGGGTGACAGCAGAGACTGGATTCCTTCTTGACCAAGAGCTCTGGCCACCAGCAGGACTGGAGCAGGCCGACTGCAGACCAGGCCTGGACAGAGAGGAGGCGGCAGAAGGAGGGTCTCTGGGGTTCTTGCTGTAGTGAGTTGGGGGCAGTGTGGTGTCCATGGAGCACTGAGCACTTTCATGCTGACCTTGCAGCTTGGAGAAGGCTGAAGTGAGACCAGGGGTAGCAGCAGTGCAGGGCTGTCCACAGTGTCTGAGCAATGACTTGCCCTGTATTAATTACATGTAGAAATGCCAGGCACACTGCCCACATCCCTTCTGTAACTGTATTTGAATTTTACTCAGTTTTTTTCAAGTTCTAACTCCGGCTAGACTCTGTTTTCTTTTGGTCATGGTGCTCTCCTCTCATGCTTCTGAACTCCCCTGGGGATCCAGAGGTCAGTGGCTTTGTGACCTTGAATACTTTTGTTGGGGTATCCAGGTTTATTTCAGCACACTGGCACCAAAGGGGAGCTACGGTCACTGGCTTCAATCTATACAGGGAATGATTTGTAGAGTCACAATATAACAACCACTATTCACTGAGCACATATTTTGGTCTGGATCCTGTGCCAGGTACCTTAGAAATACTATTTTCAGAAATCGTCTCAACCCCAGCAGGTGAGATTGCATTCTATGTGT